CCCAGGCCCAGAGTTCAGGCCCCACAACCGGACCCCCCCCAAAAAAAAAAAAATCTTTATAATACAACATCCATTTGTTTGCTAAGATGCCTACACAAATTTGGCTGGTCCCAAGATTGGGTAAGCACACCTACAGCCATCCCATTACGCTCATGGACATCTTAGGTTAAAGTTTTTTCTAGTTGAAAGGCCTAAGACAGGTTCTTGAAGAAGAGCCTGCTGAGCCAGGCACTGGTGGCACACACCTATAATCCTAGCTACCCAGGAGGTTGAGAATTGAGGATTGTGTTTTGAAGCTAGACCAGGCAAGAAAGTCCAAGAGTCTCTTATCTTCAATTAGCCACCAGAAAACTGGAAGTGGAACTGGCACTATGGCTCAAGTGGTAGAGTGCCAGGCCCTGAGTTCAAGTCCCAGGGCTGGCAAAAAAAAAGAAAAAAGAAATGAGTCTCACAGACTTTCTTGCTAGGGCAGGCTTCAAACTTCAATCCTTTAATCTTGAATAGCTAGATTTACAGGCTGTGATCCACCAATACCTGAAATGGCTTAAACAGTTTATGTTACACACAGGGTGGTGGGTGGGGGGTTGGTAATGTGTATGTCCCCTATCTGCATGACAAAGAGGGCCTTGTATTTGTTTTTTTTTGTTTGTTTGTTTTATTTTGTTTTTGTTTTTGCTGGTCCTAACACTAGAACTCTACCTAGATGCTGTCCCTAAGCAACTTTTGCTCAAGGCTAGTACTCTACCATTTGAGATACAGCACTACTTCCGGCTTTTTCTATGATTAATTGGAAATAAGAATCTCAGAGTAGCTAGGATAACAGGCATGAACCACCAGTGCCCAACTAGGAGGGATTTTTTTCTTTTGGCATCTCCAGACCTCTCCATTTCCCAGTGGGGCCAGAAAGATCTCTCATTTCTGTTCCTTCCATTTCTCCTGGAGTATGAAGAAAGGTATACCCTACCCTGAATCTAACCACTTGTACTTGGTTACTATCAAATGTATCTGATGCTGCCTGTCTCATTCCCACCATTTTTTTTTTTTTTTTTTGTTGGTCGTGGGCCTTGAACTCTGGGCCTGCACACCTCAGCTCTTCAGCTCAAGGCTAGCGCTCTACCACTTGAGCCACTGTGCCACTTCTGGTTTTCTTGTGGTTAATTGGCAATAAGAGACTCATGGACTTTCCTGCCCAGGCTACCTTTGAACCATGACCCTCAGATATCAGCCTCGTGAGTAGCTAGGATTACAGGTGAGAGCCATCGATGCCCAGCTTACTCCCACCAAATTTGATCCTGCCAAGTCTATTGTGCTTAGCTATTGTATGAAATGACAGTCTCTATAGTATGAGATGACAGGTATTTATTTTCCCTGTATTATCGAGTGTAGCATTGCCCATGATCTCTTTTTCTTAAAATTTTTTATTGTGATTAAATGATTCATAAATTTCACAAATTTCATAGTCTTGTAAGATAGTGATACTTAGTTTAAAAGTCACAAACACATTCCAGCCTTCATGGGCAAATTGTTTTTATCATAGACTATAAAGTTTGTGATTCTATGAGCTTTGACAATACAGCTATTTCTTCCACAATGGGTGATATGTACATTTCTTTCCTTTTACTTAGTGACAGCTGTTCCTCTTTCCCTCTCATTCCCTTCCTCCAATGGCTGCCATTGAGTTGCTTAGTTAGAAATCTCAGAGCCTTTGGTGCCTGTCTTCCTACACTAAAGAGCATATAGCATATGACTCAGAGTGTACATCTTTTCCCATCAAAGCCGACAACCCAGTCCCTAATACCATAGGTAGTAGCTTAACAATGTCAGGGGTCCTTAGGAAGGACACCAGGTCATAGACTTAGGTAGACATCCAACCTAACATGTCCCACTGAGGAGTCAACAGCTTTCCCATTGTTAAAAGGTAAGATTTTGTTGGGCACAAGTGGTTCACACCTGCAGTTCTAGCTACACAGAAGGCTGAGGTCTGAGGATCGTGGTGTGAAGACAGTTCTGGCAGGAAAGTCTGTGAGACACTTATTTCCAATAAACTACTCAGAAAAAGCTGGAAGTGGCGCTCAGGACTGGCAATAATAATAATAATAATAGAAGATTTTCCCACAATTTCCATAGATAAATGACATCAATATATAGACAAAAAAATTTTTTGGTCAGTCCTAAGGGCCTGGTTGTTGTCCCTGAGCCTCTTTGTGCTCAAGGCTAGCACTCTACCATGTGAGCCACAGCACTACCTCCAGCTTTTTCTGAGTAGTTTATTGGAGATAAGAGTCTCAAGGCCAAGTACTGGTGGCTATTGCCTGTGAGCCTAGCTACTCAGGAGGTTGAGATCTGAGGATCTCAGTTCAAAGCCAGCCTAGGCAGGAAAGGCCTTGCGATTCTTATCTCCAATAAACCTCCCAGAAAACCGAAAGTGGCACTGTGGCTCAGTGGTAGAGTGCTCTCCTTGAGTTGAACTGAAGGACAGCAGGCAGGCCCTGAGTTCAAGCCCCATGACTCACACACAAAAAAAGAGTCTCATGAATTTTCCTGCCTGGGCTGGCTTCAAACACTGCTCTTCAAATCTCAGCCTCGAGAATAGCTAAGATTACAGACATGAGCCACCACAGCCTGGCTGATAGTTTTTTTTTTTTTTTTAATGCGTATTTGTTCCTGATAGATTTTAAAAGCAGAAATGCTAAGGACACCCTAATCCTGAGTTCAAGAACCAGTGCCAGCAGAAATGTAGTAAAAGATAAGAGATAGCTAGGACTTCCACATAGATGGGACTCAGTAAAACTACATTTCAGTGTTATCACTTGTGGGAAAAGATGTATTTTTAAAATTTATTTTTCAAACAAGTTTCCTGGCCTTCCCTCTGATTGGCAGGGCCCAAGGTTAAGAGTCTCCTTCGTCCTAATTGACAGGTTTTATTTTCTCATCTACCTACAATTGGGTTGCTGCTGGGAACGTTTCAGTTTGTTTAATTTGTCCTAGACCATAATCTCAGGTTTAACTGCTTTTACATTTTTCATTATTTTATAGAAGCTTCCTCCCCCTATTTTGTTGAGCAAGTTCATTATCCTGCCATAGGCTATAATTCCATTAGTTCTTTTTTTTTTCTTTCTTTTTCTTTTTGCTGGTCCTGGGGTTGAACTTGGGGCCTGGATGCTGTCCCTGAGCTTCTTTGTGCTCAAGGCTGGTGTTCTACCACTTGTGCCACAGTGCCACTTCTGGCTTTTTCTTTTCTTTTTTCTTTTTTGTGTGTCGGTCGTGGGGCTTGAACTCTGGGCTTGGGGGCTGTCCCTGCGCTCTTCAACTCAAGGGGAGCGCTCTACCACTTGAGCCACAGCACCACTTCCGGTTTTCTAGTGGTTTATTGGAGATAAAAGTCTCACGGACTTTCCTGCTCGGTCTGGCTTTGACCTCGATCCTCAGATCTCAGCCTCCTGAGTAGCTAGGATTACAGGCGTGAGCCACCGGAGTCCAGCACTTCTGGCTTTTTCTGATTAGTTTACTGGAGATAAGAGTCTCACGCACTTTCCTGCCTGGGCTGGCTGTGAACTGTGATCCTCAGATCTCAGCCTCCTGAGGAGCTGGGCTTTGTTAGTTCTTATCACTTTATTTTCCCCTGGCTTCACCTCTTTGCCAGACACGTTTTGGTTTTTAGTTTAATCTGCGGTTCTTGAGTTGTATAAACCTACATTCCCTTGCTTCTTGTCTTCTCTTTTAAGAGCCCGTAATCCCATTCGTCAGAAGGCTGGGGCAGGATTGGGACTGGTGGCATTCAAGCCTTGGTACCTAGCAAGACTCTATCTCAAAACAAAATAAGCAAAACGAAATAAAACCTGTAGCAAAAGTAATTAATTACTTAAACAAACCCCAGATTGGCTATTTTCTTTTGTGGGCATGGTCACACAGAAGTTCCCAAATTGAAACTGGGCGCCCTTGGCTCCAGTCTGCAATCGTGGCGACTCAGCAGGCTGCGATCTGAGGATTGCAGTTCGAAGGCAGCCAGGTCAGAAAAATCTGTGAGACTCCAATTAAACACCAAAAAAGCCTGACGTGAAGCTGTGGCTCAAGTGGTGAGCGCTAGCCTTGGAGCACAAAAACTCAGGGACATCAGTGCGCTGGCACTGAGTTCAAACTCTAGGACTGGCACGCGCGCGCGCGCACACACACACACACACACACACACACACACAGTGCTTAAACTGGACAACTTCACACAGCGTCTGGTCTCCACATTCTCTTCATTCCAATAGTAGAGACGGAACGTAATTAGCTGATTTGGCGTTCCTTGGAAAGGTATCTAGATATCTAACCACAGAAACACAGGGAGAAAGAACAGGCTGATCCAGAGAGGTGGAGATGGGTGAAGCAGGGGATGGAATGCGAAGGGCAGTCCCAGGATTAAGTAAAGGAGTCCGGCGCCCGCACTTTGAGTGAGCCCAGAATCTAGCAGAGCTGGGCAAACCCAGGGAGCAGAATCTGGGTGGAGGGTAGCTAGTTTTTTTTTTTTCTTTCTTTCTTTCTTTCTTTCAATACACACTAATACCAGGGCAAAGGACTTAAGGCAAGCTCCAAGAGCAGCGCCGCCGTTTCACAGGGGACAGAGGCCGCTTCACTAAGTGCATAATCTTGTTAACACAGAACCCACACTCCTCACTCTCGGTCGTCTTTGACTTCTCCAAGGACCTCTGAGTCGTCCGAAACCTTAACGTGCAGCACGTGGAACTACAAGTCCCAAGATGCATCGCTGCAATGGGGCCCAGACACCTTTGGTACCCGCCAGAAAAAAAAAGAAAAGAGAAAAAAGAGGACAAATGCCAGGATGTGAAAATTAGATCAGGTCCACCCTGCTGGTTGGGAAAGCAACAGAGCTAGAATCTGATTGGTTGAAGTTTGACGTCTCTCAGGCTGGTGAATGTTCCTCGAATAGGAAGAGAAGGTGGAAGAGAGGGTGGGTGCCCTACGCACTTCCGGTAGGCGGAAGTGAGCCAGCAGCCACCCACCCCAGCCTCCTCAAATACCACTCTCCCGCGCGTCTCTGAAAGCGCCGGTGACCCGACGGAAGCAATTCTTCCGACTTGTTCCGGAACGCACCGAGGCCAGCAGCTGGGGGTGGGGGGGCGGCCCTGGAGAAGGGGCTGTGGCGGTACGCCGGGGAAGACTGCTGCGGCGGCTGCATTAGCGGCGGGATTCGCAAGTAAGTCTGGGGGCTGGTGCAGGAGCTGGGCTCCGGGCTGCGGGGTGCGTTTGGGGCCGGGGAGGCTTGTGACTGGGTGCGTTCGCCATCCCGCTTCGCACACTGGTTCCCGTCGGGGCGGGGGAAGGAACGGAAGCTCCTCGCCTCCCCGGCTTCCCGGCCTCGTTTGGGGGAGGGGAGGCCCGCCGGAGCTCTCCCGGCGCCGCTCGGTGGGCTCGGGAAGCAGGGGGAGGCCCGGGCCGGGAGGAAGCTGCCCGCGATCCCAGGCCTTCTCCCCGGGCGGAACGCAGAGGGAGGGTGCAGTTGGGGGAGCATGGCAGCCCCATCGCCTTTTTGTTTTTTTGCTTTCTCACGTGCTCTCAGATTTGTTCATTTCTTGAGCCCCAGGAGGGGCCGCTCGCCACTTTCCTCTGCAGTACCCCGAAAAAAAAGTTTGATCTTTGGAGCAACTTGTTGGGCCATGTCTCCCCCTGTGACCCGGTGGGTGGAGGCTCTCCTGCCTCTCACACTCCTTGTCTGAGAGGAGTTGTCTTAAGGCCAAGTACGGTGCCCCCTGAGTGTCCCGTAAACCAGTCTCTTCAGTAATAATAGATCTCCATTGAATTGAAGAGGGGGAGAGTCCTGTAGTGCTAGTATTTCTACTGTGCAGCCTTGAGTGTAGAAAGCAACCAAAATCTTTAGTTATGAAACTTGGTTTTCAAACTGCCAAATTTGCTTTTGATCCCCAAATAACTACTTTTTTCCCCGTTAAGTGACTTAAGACGATAAATATCTGTATTATTATGCCGTATTTGAGCCATCACAGTTCGCAAGTGGGTTTCACTGGCGATGAAACCGTTGTTGGCCCTTCCATGATGGATATTTGTGGTTTATTGCCTCTGTGTGTGTGTGTGTGTGTGTGTGTGTGTGTCTGTGTCTGTGTGTGATGACTAATTTTTACCTTAAAGAATGGCAATTTTGCGATTAGACTTGACTCTTGATTATGTGAGGCAGTTGTCCTCTGCACCACCACCCCCCCCCCAATTTGATAATGGTCCTTTTTTAAAAAGACATCTTATAACTACTAGGCTGGGAATGTAGCTTAGTTGTAGAGTGCTTGCCTTTCATACAAGAGACCATAAATCTGAAATCCAGTAACTAGACACATCCAAAAAAGTTGTCTTCTATCTAATAGTTATTCAAAACCAATTTTTTTAAAATATGCATACTCATTATACATAGAACCAGTTTCATTATTAGATGCTAAATTTGAAGTAACTAGGCAATAATTTACACATGAAGCTATGTCTTCTATAGTTATCTAGTTAAGTACTGAAGTAATACTTTGTTGTTAACTTCGAAAATGCTGTGTGGCTTTTTTTTTCCAGTCATGTAAAATAAACAGGAAAATCTTCAGTTTTTGCTAATGTATATATTAATACATTTTCCAAATGGTTATTGCTGCATTGTTAAAATCAGATAAACACCATTCAGTGAAGCACGAAACTTTTAAGTCTTAATAATTCTGGAAAATGATAATAGTACTCAAATATTTACCAGACATCTATTTATGTGCTTTGATGCCTACCCTCAAAATGGATATAGGGGATAGGATTATGTATTAGATATAATTTCAGGTAATGATAAATAAAAGGAAAATTAGGCCAGTGATAGTAATGAGGAGTTGGGAGAATTCTAAAGTTCAAGGCTAGCTTAGGCTACATGTGGAGACCTTGTCTCAAACAAAAGGATGGGCTGGGAACGTGGCTCAATGGTAGAGTGCTTGCCTCACATGCATGAGCCCCTGGGTTCAAAAAGGCTGTGGCTCAAGTGGTAAAGTGCTAGCCTTGAGCTGAAGATCTGAGGGACAGTGCCCAGACCCAGAGTTCAAGCCCTACAACTGGGAAAGGAAAAAAAAGAGACTTCTGGCTGCTTATGGCTTATGCCTCTGTGATCTTAGCTGCTCAGGAGGCTGAGAGCTGAGAATCCATTTGAAGCCAGCACAGGCCAGGAAAGTCCTAGAAATTCCTATGAACAATTAACCACCAAAAAAGCTGAAGTAGAGCTGTGGCTCTAGTGATTTAGAGCACTACCCTTGAGCAAAAAAAAAAAAAAAGCTCAGGGACAGCACCCAAGCACCCAGTGCCTGCAGTCAAGCCCCAGGTCTAGTGCTTGCGCATGAGTGCGCGCCCAAGCACTCACACACAGACACACACACATACACAAACAGATTAAGGTGATGATAATATGCTTTTGATGGAAAAGTTGATTGTTTTAACTAGAGATTTCTCAAGTAGTAAACTGCAAATGCATAGACCTTGACCACAATGAAGGAAAAGTAGTGTTGACATCAGGGTATGGTGGATGAGTGTTAATCAACTAGCAAATAAATAAAATTGAGGCTTATGGTCTTTTTTTCTATTTGAAATGAGAAACCACTGACAGGTTTTCAGTAGGAAGGTGGTGAGTGGAGAGTAGACCAGCTCTCCAGCTCTGGATATAAGCTCTGGATGAGGAAACTTTTCTAAGTGTTTAAGTCTCTGAGATGTATTTGCTTGAAATGTAGAGTTGGAAGATAATGATTTGAAGTGTAATTTCATGCTAGAGCCAAATGGCACAGATAAATTTTTCTTCTTTTTTTCTTTTTATTTCTTTGTGGTAGGCTTGAACTCTGGGCCTGGGTGCTGTCCCAGAACTTCTTTTTGCACCAGGATAGAAGTCTACCACTTCAGCCCTAGCTCCATGTCTGGCTTTTTTTGTAGATTATTAGAGACAAAAGCCTCACAAACTTTGCTGCCTAGGCTGGCTTTACTGTGATCCTCAGATCTCAGGACTCTGAGTACCTAGGATTATAGATATGAGCCACCAGCTCTTAGATTTGATTTTCTTTTGAGTAAACAACTTTTACCCACCCTAATCATTTCAGGAATAGCAGTATCATAGTGTATCTTACTGGGTATTACTGCTTTGTAGCACGTACCTCTACTCCCAGAACTCAAGAGGCTGAGAGGTAGAAGGATGAGTCTCAGAGCAGCCTGTGCTATATGGTCAAACAAAACAAAAAGTATTTACTGAAGTGGGAAAGACTGAGAAGGGAAACATCAGTTTTTGATAGTTTCCAAGAGTTGTGTGTGTATGTCAATACTAGGGCTTTTCTACTGAACAGCCTTGAATACTTAACTTCATTCTTTTGTTTAAGGCTGGCACTCTACAACTGAACTTTAACACCTCTTCTGGCTTTTTTTGGGGGGGGGGCAGTCCTGGGGCTTGAACTTGGGGCCTCTTTTGTTCAAGGCTAGCCTTCTACCACTTGAGCCACAGTGCTACTTCTGGCTTTTTCTGAGTAGTTTATTGGAAATAAGAGTCTCATGGACTTTCTGCCTGGGCTGGTTTTGAACCTCAATTCATAGATCTCAGCCTCCTGAGTAGCTAGGATTACATTGGTGAGCCATACATGACAGGAAGGATTATTTTTATTCAACTTTTGAAACAAAGGAATGGACAAAAGAACACGTGTATAGAGTGAGTGATTTCTTTTGGTTTATTTTTAGCCTGTCAGTCTAAATGTTTGTTTTGTTTTACAATATACATGAGCTATGGGTAGATATACTTAGAAAATTTTCTTATTCTTTTTATAAACTATAAGGAAATTTGAGATAGTAAGGGAGATTAGGTAGTTTTCAGTGGTAAAGTGCCCTGCATCCTTTTAAGTTCTCTGCTCTGTGGGAAACACCTGCTTATTAAAGATAAAAGTAAGATAAGTGGGAGTAACACAGTTAAATTCAATCCCCTCATATGAGATATGAAGGGTCAAATCCTGTCACTTAACCTATATAGATCTCAAGACAAATGTCTAAGCGAGAATAGAAATTCAGATACGGGGCTAGAGGTATGTGGTTTTTTTTGTTGTTCTTTGTCGATTGTGGGGCTGGAACTCTGTGCCTGGGTGCTGTCCCTCAGCCCTTCAGCTCAAGGCTAGTGCTCTTCCACTTCAGTCATAGCACCACTCCTGGTTTTCTGAGTGGTTTATTGGAGATAAGAGTCTCACAGACTTTCCTGCCTGGTCTGGAACCATGATCCTCAGATCTCAGCCTCCTGAGTAGTTAGGATTACAGGTGTGAGCCACTGGCACCCGGCTGAGGATTGTGTTTTAGAAGTCAGCCCTGGCAGGAGAGTTGAGACTCTTATATCCAATAAACTACTCAGAAAAGACTGGAAGTGGTCCTGTGGCTCAAGTGTTAGAGAACTAGTGTTTGAGACAAATGACAGTGCCCAGGCCCTGAGTTCAAACCCCAGGACCTGTACGACAACAAAAATGCTGTGTGAAGACGCTGGTAAACAGTGGAGTTCATTTATTTTGGTTACAGACCTATAAAAAAAAAAATCTACAAAAAATCTACATTTGTCCTCCACATGTAGTTCTATATACACATATACATACACAAACGAATCCTTGGTTTCGAAATGGAATCATAGCTTTTTTTTTTTTTTTTTGGTTGGTTGTGGGGCTTGAACTCTGGGCTTGGGCACTGTCCCTGCGCTCTTCAGCTCAAGGCACTTGAGCCACAGCGCCACTTCCAGTTTTCTAGTGGTTTATTGGAGATAAGAGTCTTACGGACTTTCCTGCCTGGGCTGGCTTTTTCCTGCCAGGGCTGGCTTTGAACGGTGATCCTCAGATCTCAGCCTCCTGAGTAGCTAGGATTACAGGCATGAGCCACTGGTGCCCTGCTTTAACATTACTGTTTTAATGTATTTCACTGTGTGCTGAGTAAGCACTGTCTTTGTGCTTTATGTATAATTTATTTTTCATAATGTCCTTGCGAAGTAAATACCATATTATTTCCATTTTACAGTATCAGAAACGAGGCACAGAAATGTTAGGTAACTGTGGTTCATATAGCAATTAGTGATGGGGGTAAGCATTCTAAAGCCAATTGCTTTTAAGCAACTACATTATATGGAGGGCTAATGATACAAAATAGCCAAAGAAATCTTAGGTAAGAGATGAAACAAGATGTAGC